TTTTTTTTTGGTTAAGACAACTCTAAAATTTTTGAATTTCAAAAAATAAATGTAAAGAAAATTTAGTTTTAATTAATATTCACTTTTTACTCTTTGCAACAATATCTTAATGAAAAAATTTTTTCCATTTAATACTTTTGTTATTCCACTGACGCTGATACAACGTAATTGTATAATACCAATAAATATATAATTTTTGATCTTTTGTTTCATTTACAAAAAAGAAGAAAGTTATAAATAATTTGAAAACTTCAACGGTTATCAACGTTTTAAATCACCATTTATAGTTCACAAATGTTTTCTGGCAACAATTATACTGTTAGCTTTGTCAGTAAGCAAACAGCAGTACAATACAGCCAATGCAGTTACCACAGAGGTGAACTTTCCTGCAAAATGGCATTTGATGGAAGACCAAAAAAAAAAAAAGAACAATTTAGAAGCACCGTAAAAACCAGAAGATTATGCAGTAGACACCAATCTGATTAAAAAAAAGTAATAGTTCATTTTTAATCAAAAATATTTTAAATTATTATCTGTTTATAATTTATACACTGTTCGTTCTTCCAGACAACTTACTTGAACGCAAAAATTTTGTTGGTGTAAATATAACTGCCAAAAAAAGAACAATTTGTAATTCAGCCTGTAACAGGCGTAAGTATATTGTGATTATTGTGCTAATTATTGAATTAGTCATTAAATTTTGAAACAGAAAATTATACATTACTATCTTTCAACTTGTTCGAGGTAAATAATAATTTAACAAGATAAAATAAACCAAAATTTAACATTCTTAAAGATAATGATCAATACTGTTTGGTGCATTTTGATGCAATAGAACCAACAAAAAATTGGAGAACTCTGGAAAGCAATCACTTATATAGCAGACGTACCCCGAGTAATACTTCAACCAGGAGTCCGAGTCCGAATGCGACAGCTAATTGTTGTCAGGTTAAAGTTTTACCAAATTTTTGCAAGAAAGACTGCTCAGGTGCTATTTCTATTGATTTTATCCTAAAATTTGTTAAAAAAAAATTTGCGAAAAATTTGAGTAAAAATTACAATATTAACAAACTGGTTTAATGTTGTTGTCGAAAAGCATGCTTTCCTGACCGGTACTGCCGTTCCTGAAAAAAAAAAAACAATTGGAAGCTTCTGTAAGAAGTTAAAGTATGAGGAAAATTTTTAGCTTAAACTTCACAAGTTTTTTTCAGCCAACTGTATGGAATGAAATGAGACAGTCATTATATTCTGTAGTTAAACCTGGTACTCTTGCTTTTGTTTCTTCAACTCAACAACTAATGATTTTTACTCGCAACGGTTGACAAATCGTCAAGGTATTCGTTCTAGAAAAAAAGTTTATTTCAGATGCCAAAAAGTTTAAAAGCAATTAATAGTAACACAAACACATTGTACAAAACTTTAATTTACAGAGATAGACTTTTTTTTTTGCAATTTTTATATCGTCACCAAACACAAATTGTACAACACACTGATTTGATCTTACTTTTGGTCAACATTTTTCATTTAAAACTATGAAAAAAATCAACTTTTTTTTTTTCAAAAATTGTTGAAATAAATTTCGCTGAATTCTTCAATTAGATTTTGTTTTAGCTAGAAAAACTTCAAACTGGAAGCAAAAAGCCGAAAAATAACGTATGTAATTTTTCAAGATTTGTTTAAAATAATGTAAAAAAGAGGAAACTAAAATGATGCATGCATTTTGAAAAAAGTTAGCTTGAGCTTTAGGTCTATTGCTTGGTTGTTCTGATTACAGAATGCAGAGACAGAATTTATGCGTTTCTGTCAGCTGATAAAACAGGATTCCCGCTTTACTTTACCACAACAGATAACTCCACTACTAAACAAATCAAATATATTTAATTAATCGACAATTTTCCTGTTGTAAATTTACTCAGTCTTTCTGTAGCTTTAAGTTACTTGTTCTCCCTACTCTTCTACCACCATTAATAAACTGTTCCTGATTTGACGATTTTCTAAATTATTATTATTAGCAAAACAGTTTTCGATCACGACCGCTGCCACCACCACAGCTAAAGTCAGTGTCAGCCCGACCGTCAAACCTGCCCACGATAACAAGACGGATGGAGAAAGGTTTTAGACAGAACTAATTGCCTACGAAGCAGTGCGTTGATGAAGACTGCAGTAAACGCAAAGTAACTTTGTAATTTGCCACTTCCAAAAATGCATCTTATGCAGTAATGCTTGAAGAAAAGCTTGAACTTTGTCTTACTGCCAAGTATTTAGTACTCAATTACCGAAAACGCGACAGTGTTTTTCATTTCTGAGAAAAATACTCGCCTCTAGATTTTTATCATTAGAATCCAAAAACGGCTTAAATATATGTAATACTTAACAACTGCAAATTTTGGCTACATTTCCCTTTATTTGTTGTGAAAAATTTAACCGTACAAGTTCAAAAGGGTTTTCAAACGATGAAACTGTGAAATAAGAGTTGAATGTTATCCTTATGTCACAGATCCATCTGATAGCACTTGATCAACCGTATAACGGAAAAATTTTGCTTTATGGTAGGCAGGGTATTCGTGCAGCAGATTACGCCTGTCACTTAGCATCAAGAGAGTATGGTCACAAGGAAACATTCCAAGCACTTCTATCTTCTTCATTTCAGGTACTTTTCTGTGATGCAAACCAACCGTTTTTACTGCTAAAACAATACAGAAAATCAACAAAATTTCCAAAATTTCTTCGCAAAACAGTTTTGAAGCTTTAACCTCTATAAAATGCTCCTTCAGTTTTGAACATGTCTTTGTTTCTCAGGATCTAAGAACGGTGGTCCGTAGAGATGAACATAATGCAGTTGTTGTAAATGCTTGAAATCAAAAGGTTTACAACTCTTACAATGACTTTCTTAGTGAAGCTGCGCCGTACAGTACACCGACCTACTCTTTTAGCGGAAAAAACGTCTATAACAGCTCATTCTGGCAAGTTGTAGGAGCAAAAAGAGAGAATATAACTTAAAGCTAAACGTACTGTACGTGTAAGACACTCAAAAGTTGATTGAATCACTATTAAGAAATACAATGAGTAGTAGCAACTATGGTATCACAATTAAGAGTACAACCTTTCTGCCTACTTGTGTTAATAACTTAAGGAAACCAAAAATGGTTTGGCTGGGAAGTGATCGATCTGGCCGTAAAAACACAAATTGGTGTAAGAATTGATATTCACGCAGCCGTTTAACTTTTGGCAAAGCTTCTCTATTGATTATGAATCGTAATTTGATCTCTAAAACCGTTAAAATGGACTGCTCGTCGCCTCTAGGTGTCTTATGTATTGAGGTTAGTTCTGTTCTAGCACTAAGATTTATTTATTTTTTTTGATGAACAGTATTCTTAAAAGACTGAAGCACTGGTGCAATGTCATACAGTAACCAATGCACGTCAAATCGCACAAATTTGAAAGCTGACTTCTCAGATTTCTCTTAAGCCTATAATTCTTTAGATTATGAATAAAATACCGGCGAAGTTTCTTCCGTACCTAATTTCGCAGTAAATCATCAAGTTCGTTTTCTCCTCTAACCGCAAAGCAGCGAAGGACTAGGTTTTTTCCCTAAAAGCGACTTCCTTTAGCAAGTTAAAGCTCTGATTAATCTTGCGAAACTCAGCTTATAAATCCACATTCAATACTTTGAAACTAAAATTCAGTTAAAACAACACATCATCTGCTTTCACTCGCTTACGAAATGATACTTCTTCGTGCGAGTTATATATCTGATTTCTAAGCAACTCCAAATGATTGGATTATCATCTGAAGAAAGAAGTCTTATGTTGAAAATTTTCTTCTCTATTAGAAAATCAAGATCAATAACTTTCATGTATGAAATGCTAGCCCAAAAAATAGTCAACTTGATCTTAAAACGCAGAAGTTTTTGTATCGCTAGAAAACCGACATGCGAATACAAATCACCTGGTTTGAAAAGCATCTGTTTTGATTCTTTTTGACTCGGCAAACCGATCGGTTTAGAAGCAGGACTGTCGAAATGAAACTTTGGATGAACTTGGAAGTATTTGGTTTTGTAGAGAATGGCGGGAGTAACACTTAGACGACACAAGCCTTGTTTGACAAGAAATTTAAGCTTTGGTCAGTTTCAGGTGGCTAAAAGCTCCTGCGGCTCAAATCGCAGACATTTACTTTCGAATTACAATATTTATGACCATCCTCTATCAGCTAGTTGAAGTCAAGCAAAATCTGAGATACCGATTTCCAACAGGATGCGGTTCGACGTGGAATGGCCTTCACGACTTGTAAAACAGTTTCTAATTACTTTCATACCCGGAATAAACTATAATAGTAGTAATTCACTCTGAAGAACCACTTGTTGAGGAAAGATTTAACTAAGTATGATAAGTTTTAGACGATAAGTGAAGATAGACCACTGTGAAAATCAAAAAAAGTAGCCCTGATGCAATTTTTCGTGCGCGAGACAGTAACATTTGGAATATAAAACTGTTAAAACCAATTTGTCTTGCCTTATGCTCCAGTACTTATTCTTCTTCACTTTCATGATTGCTGTTGTGTCCTTGTTTGTATTGATAAAATAACCATATGATTTCGGTGCGGTGAAAAATAAAATGGCATTTAAATCACGAAAGAAGATTTGAATAACTTATATCAATGTAAGCACGGTTTATTACCAGAATTATTTTGGTTCGACCAGAACAGCTGAGGAAGAATAAAAAAAATCCACAAACCAAAATAGCCTTAATTATTTCCACAGTAAACAGCACGGTTATTATATATAAAGGTCAAAAGCACATGTTCCATACAGGATTAGATTACGGGAGACAGAAACAGTTTTTGATGTAAACAATATATGCCAACAGTGCACACATAGAGCGCAAAAAAGGCTCACGAAATGCTGTCATTTCTTGATGAAAAACGTACAGTGAATGCTATAACTCATAAAATAAGTAACCAAAAAAAAAAATCAACCAGCGAACAGTTACTTTGAACACTGATTCCGGAAATCCATATCAGAGTTTTCTACTGAATCGCTGAACAAGCGAAAAAGCGAATCCTAATTCTCCACAAACTTGGTGAAAAAACTTGGTGTGAGCAGTCTGGTACTTTCAGCACAGCAGCAGCAACAATGCTTTACTTAACTTTACTTTACAGCCTTATTAAGTGTTCAAAATGCTGAGGTAATTAGGGTGCTACAATTTACTAAACGTTGCCGGCAATTCAGCGTTTTCTGGCCGATAAAGATTATGTTTCACTGATTAGCTAAAGTTGTGACAATTTGTTAATGTTGAAATTTTTGTTTTAGTATCATTTGAGGCAAGTTATCAGTGGCCTCACAAGGTTAATTAGAAAATTCGCTCTGCTTACTCAAAACCATTCACCTGAGCCATTTTTTACAAAAATTAGTAAGCCAATATAAAAAAAGGGACATTTAGTTTCATTGCGCTTGTCAATTTGTTTTATTTTTCAGTATTCTATTGCTTTTTTTAAGAGGTGAATTTATATGCAAATGGAAATATCTTTCAATATTTCACATAAGCTAACAACATTTAACCACACAACCACAGAGTTTATCTGTGCAAAGATTCTTCTGTCGATTTAATCGCAAATAGTCACTGAAAAAAGAATGGGCATTTTAAATGGTTTTGCAACTTATTTTTTTGTCATCCTGAGAAAGGCACTTCCATATGACTTTCCTTTCCTTTAATGACCAAAATGTTGAAGTTAAAAGAGGGCTTTACGGTGGCAGTAAAGATCAATTGGTCTTTGTATAACAGAAGATAAAAGAAGAAAGTCTTTTTTCTCTTTTGCGGTAGCGAACAGTCTTTACATCAAGTTATTAGCGATCTTCTATGTAATATTCTATCTGTAAAGCAACTTTCAAAATTGAAATAACTTCTACATGTTTCTACCAGGATACCTGTTTAATCAGATACTATTTCAACTTCAAAAATCTCCTGTAGGTCTGTTGCCCTTTACCAGTTTTAGTTATGTTAAGCAGACATTGCAAATACGCATCCGTATCAAAGTAACGTTAAGTGTATCAAAAAAAATAATTTTTCTATAATGATTTCTGAACGACTAAGAGTGGTAGGAATTCCGTCATCGGTGAACCATTGTAACTGACAGCTGTTAGTTAGTGGCTTCTGCAGTCTACCTAAAATGGTGGCTGTTCTTTACTGGAATCTGAAAGCAGTGGAAATTTCAAATTTTTGGCTTTGAAACTGTAGGCTAGGTACGTAACGTAAGTTTAAAATGCAACCTTTACTATAACGTTTTTCTTAACAGACCCAACAAAAAACCCCCCACAAACGCCAAAATTGTTTGCTTTGACCCGGCCATACACTGTAGTTGCTGTTGAGAAGAAACTATCACAGCAAGTTTTTTTTGGCAGACCTCTCGTTATGCGTGAAATTTCAACTAAATAAATCAATTCGTTTACGATTTTGAACCTTTGTGAGCTATCGGAACGTTTTGCACAAGACAACACTGCTAAAATAAAATTGGTTACGGCGTACAGCCAGAAGCTTTTCTGTGATAGACTTTTCTAGTTCAATAATTTACATCTGCTGGTATTAACAGTAAGCTTTACGCTGACCAGCAAAATACTAAAGTTTTCTGTTGTAATGTTTAATCGAACTGTAATGAAGTTTATTAGTATCAGAGGGCCTAAACGGGGACAATTAACAACTATTTTTTTCTTCTCTTTCGTGATTTAACGGCACTTCATACCGAGATTGGTCATATATTTGCTAAAAGTATCCGACCTTTTCTTCTGTTGCCCGACAATATTCTGGAATAAATGATTTTATCTTAAGGTTGCTGATTTTGAACAATGATAAAATTTGAAAATTTTTAATCGACTTGGTGCGAGCTGTCTTATAAAAACTGCATCACCATTTCGCTTTCAGAAGATCCTCATTGAGTTGCTAAAAACAATTTTCATTGCTAAGGAAATCGAAATTCTCAGCTGCAAAACAGTGAAGGAGAAAACGATAAGAAAATATTTGGATTAATTCTGACAAGAGTTCACTAGTTGTTAACAATATGAAGCATTTTTGAAGAATTATAAGCGTTTTGCAACGGGCTTTTTTGCTGCATGATTGCCGAACAAAAATAACTCAAGAAGCAAATGCTCTGTGTTTCTTCCAATGCGTATCTGTGTGAATAATCATTTTTTTAGTCGTTAT